GAGTTTTGCCTGTCATCAGCTTGAGGTGCAGTTCCCCCCAAACCCTTGCACCGATCTTCTTGAAACTTGGCAGCCTTTGTGGCCTGAGCAGGGGCTACCATCCCTGCAGTTTTCAGCCTGCTGCGCCTTAACACACACAGGGTCATCTGTCACGAGTTTTGCCTGTCATCAGCTTGAGGTGCAGTTCCCTCCAAACCCCTGCACCTATCATCTTGAAACTTGGCATGCTTTGTGGCCTCATGAGGGGCCACCACCCCTGTAGTTTTCACCCTGTGGTGTAACACATAGATGTGACAGGATTTTTGCTTTCAAGAATTTGGGGTGCAGTTCCCCCCAAACCCTTGCATCTATCTTCTTGAAACTTGGCAGGCTTCATGCTCTCAGCAGAGGCTACCATCCCTGCAAGTTTCACCCACATCAGAGATAAAACAACAAAGGTATAGCTATTTCATTGATCCCCCATTATAGCCTATGGCCAGATCTCCGAGGCGGGATTGAAGCGGCAAACCGATCCAGAGCTCCAGATCGGATTGCTGACATCCGAAGCAGCCGGATCTGAAGCCAGATCGAATACCTGTCTACTCGCACAGGCCTAAGAACCAGATCCAACAGTGCCTCTCCTCTAGTCGGCCCGTAGACCTCTTGCATTAGGTAGAGGTCATCAGTGCAAGCAAGAAAGTTACGCAACTGGTCAGATTTGGCCATGTGCTCTTCCCTAAGATGGTGGAGAGGTTGAAGTCCCCCATGATGACCATGCATCAGAAGCATGAGGCCTCAGCCAGTTCCCTATTGAATTCATAATCCAGTTCTTCTTGGCTGGGGAGTCTATAATAGACTCCTACCATTATATCCTCTTCCCCATGCTCTCCCTGTATATTAACCCAGAGGGTCTCAAGATGCCCTTCCTTGGTTAGTGGACTCAATTGGAAGGGAAGTAAAGAGCTATACCTCAACCCTTCTTCCCAATGCAGTCTCTCCTGTAAAAGGTATAGCCTTCTATACCTACAGAACAGTCATAGATGGAGTCCCACCACGGCTCTCTTATGTGCAAGATCATAATTTTTATAGCACAAGAGAAGGGACAATTCCTCTTGCTTGTTTCCTAAGCTCCTGGTATTTGTGTACAGGCAGTTGAGTCTGCCATGGGAAGCCTTAGGCTTCCTTGTGTGATGGGATGTGACCTTTCCTTGGGCTGTCGTTGGAGTGGATTCTCTTGGGACTTCTCTTGGGCTACCTAAACTGTTACTACTGTGGTTGACATGACCTGGGCTAGAACTGTTAATTGACCGCCCATCCCCCAGTGATCTTAGTTTAAAGCCCTGCTGATTAGGTCAGACACAGAATCAGAACTCACAGCAGAGTGATACTTTTATTAGACCAACTAGATTTTTGCCAAAAAAATTCTTTAATTGCAAGCTTTCACGCACAACCACCCTTTTTCAGGCATAGGGAAAAAAGATTGTAAAAGAATCTTTTGCAACCCGGATACCTGACATCGTCTACACATGCACCTGTATTATTAGGTTGCAGTAAATTAATTAACTGCTGTAGGATAGTAGCACCTTTGCACCCCAGCCAGCCCCTCCACAACATGTTGAGCAAGGGTGACCCCAGGCTGGCAGGCTGACCCCCTGGGCCTCCTGTCAGCTGGGGCAATAAACTCCAGTGAGAACTGCAGGCAGGGATTATTGCTACATGCTAATTGCACATGTAGATGTGCCCAGTGATCCCTTTCAATCTGTCTCCACTTCATAGGTGTTAACCACCCTCTATCCTTTTTAATGATCTTGATGTTTCACTATTCAAGCTATCCTTTCTTCTGCAATTTAGCTCTCTGTTAGCCAGTCCTAGTAATGCCCTCTGTTAGCCAGCCCTGCAGACTGGAGCTCTAGCTAAAAAGCTTAACTTAGGTATGGTAATATTAAGTCAGGTGTAGAAATAATTGACAGTGAAGTATTGAAACACTCTCAAGACATTCCAGAGTACTTGATTTTGTTTTATGAAACTGAATAAGAGATGTACATTTACCTTATTATGACTACAGGACTGATGATACAATATACATTGACTATTTTTAACCTAGTTTAAAAAAAAAACTTTATATATACGGTAGCAAATTTGTGCACATTTCAATAGTCATTTGTTTTTTGCTTTGTTCTTAAACTGAATAATATAGCACTAGCCCAGGGGCTGGTCATATTTTTGGGCAGAGTGTCAAAAACACCCCAACCTCTACTTGGAAGTTGTTGGCATGCCAGGGGCAGATAGTGAGGGAACTGCGAGGGGCCTAATTCTTGTTGTGGCAGTGCAACCTGGGTCCCTTCCCCGCCATCTGCCTGGAGGTATGAGTGCACCTGCTGCCAACAACGAGCCAAGCTGGGGCTCCACAGACTTCGGTGCAGCATCTTGCAGCCTCCCTGCTGTCTGCTGCAAGTAGCCCAGGCTTCTTGGTGGGCAGCAAGGGCATTCCCGGAGCCCAGGCAGACTGTGGCAGGCAGCTGGGAAGCTGCAAGCTGCTGCACCAGAGTCTGCAGAGCACCAGTTTAGCCCATTTGCTGGTGGTAGGTGCACGCATGCCTCCAAGCAGATGTAATACCATGGAAGGGAAGCCTCTGTCACATAGGGCTGTTCCTCTTGCTGGATTGGTGAGCATCACAATGGTTTCTGGGATGAAGACAAGTTCCCAGTTTCAGATTTTGCTTTCATAAATGTTCTCCAACATGCCCATGTGCTGACTTGGCTCTACCTGGGCACAAGAGTTACATGCAAAAGAAATGAAGTGTTTTCCTGGCTGAGGTGGGAGGGGTGGGCTGTGGCTCAGATCTTGCATTGTTAATCCTTGCATCATTTGGATTAACTGGGTGTAACCCCCAGTTGGTCAGGGTACCCTCAGAGTCATCTGGGCCTCCAGGACCCCAAACAACCCCACTGTCCAGCCACTAGGGCTGCTCACTGTCAGCTGCTCACTGACCTTTGTAAACCAAGCTACAGTCCTCTATGTGGGGGTGTGGACCATAATCCTGCTCTCATGTTTTCTCTCCTAGGAAGGAGCTCTCTCTACATAATCCTCTCCACTGGGGGCATTTTCCTCCTCGTCACCTTGGTGACTGTTTGTGCCTGTTGGAAACCCTCAAAAAAGTAGGAATTTTGAATAGCTTAAATAAAATGGTTGTGACTTGCTCCCCATTCCAGGCTGTCATCTCTCTGCCTTGCCTTGGGATTGCACTGGAGCCTAGCTCTTCCTATGCTTCTCCCTACTGCTATGCTGCACTCAAGGCAGGAGGAGTTTCCCACAAAGGCATGGGATTCATCTCTACAAGTTATATACCTGCTAGTGCCTCCCCAAGCCACCAAGTCAAAAATACCCTCAGCAGTGTGTTAATGGCCCACCCCTACTCCCTGGGTTGTCCTCTTCTGTGCACCCCTCCCCAGTCAGACAGGACTTGACCTACTAGGATCCCCTCCACACTTTCTCTGATAAATAAGAGCCTGTGAACATGAGCCTGCTGACTACTTCCTTCTCCAATATTATGTGGGAAGAGAACAGAACACTATTGGGACCTGAGGCTCAGAGCAGTTAGGCCCCTAGAAAGAGGGAGTTGTTTGGAACCAGAGAGGTAAAGGTAGAAGCATAACAATGGAGCCAGATGCTTGGGGCAGCAGGCCACACGGGGCAGCCATGACTTGCAGATGCTGCCATACCCTCGAAAGCTGGGTCAGATGACCAGAAGGGGTCTGGGCTTGGGGGTATATAAGCTCAGCCTCTGGATCTGGGAGGTGACCTGATCCTGGCTGTCATAGAGCAAGGAGCTCTGTGTGGAACTTGCTTCAGTTTGGAGTGTGGCTAGCCCAGGTGAGGTACCTGGTGGGCTGTGGGGAAACAAGCCTGCCTAGGTAGGAGGGCTGGAGAAACCAGAGACCCAAGGAGAGATTTATATTTGAGTTAGAACTGTCTGGGTTGGTGTTGTGTGTTCAGATTTTACTGGAGGTTTGGATAGTGGCTGACAGGGTGCTAGGGGTGCTCTGCAGGAAGAGACCTGCTCTTGGCAGGGACATGAATGGCTGAGACTGGGGAACCAAGGTCCGAGGCAGAGGACTGGGGCTGAGTGCTCAGCTAAAGAAAAGGGGTCTAAGACTGGGACAGCTGAAGCACCAGCAAATACTCTGAGGCCTGAGTGGAGTTGCCTTAAAGAGGAAACACTCCTGGCAGAAGAATAGAAACCCCTAGCCCTATTTGTGACCTTTTTTGTGTGGGCAAGCCCACTAATTTACACTTAGGGGTGGTGAGAGAAAAAAAGGATCGCAACTGATTATGGGGGACAAAAAATGACAAAAAGGAACATGCAGGTGGGTCAGAAGTTCAAAACAAGTGCACCCTCAGGGGACACTGAGCTGAGCACCCCAGACAGTGTTCACCTACTCTCAAAGGCAGCCAGAGAGCCAGTGGTGCTCTGATCAGAGACGGGAATGTAGGAGGCCCAGGAAAAAGGCCCCACAGTTCCTGGAGACCCTCCTAGCCAGAGTGTCCTTCCTGGTAAGATTCATAGATTCATAGACATTAAGGCTGGAAGGGACCTCGGAAGATCATTGAGTCCAGCCCCCTGCCCCAGGGGCAGAAAGTGAGCAGGGATCATAGGATCCCGGCAAGAAAAATAGGTGGACAGCTTGGCCAGGTCCAGGAGGAGGTTGACCAGGAGGTCCCAGGGCTTGGTAGGGCCACAGATAGGGTATGAAAAAATTCACACACATGGATAGGGTATGAAAAAGTGTGGGGAAAAGTGCAGCCAGAACCTCAACAAGAAGTTCTGGAGGAGGAGGTGCAGCGGTTGTAACCTGGTGCACTCAAGGAACATGTGTGCCAGGGTCTCCCTCTGCTCATAGAATGGGCATGTGTTGGGGGTTGTCATAAGCCATGCCAGACACACGCCCATGGCGATAGCTCTGTGAAGGAGCAGCCAGCCTAGTTCCCCGGCTAGAGAACCCTAGGACTGAATGTGAGGGAGAGAAGCTCAAGGACAAAGCCAGGAAGGAGTAGCACCACATAAGCTATTCCCAGCTTCCAGGGACTGCCTCCTCAGTATAACAACAATAACATCAAAGACAAGGAAAGAGAGAGACCAGGGGGGAGGGGGTGGCTGGGGAATGTAGCAGGTGAGTCAGACCCCAGAATGCTCCATGGCTAGGGACAGACATTCAAAAAGTGGAGCCTGAATTAATTCAATCTTTGCAGGTTAGTCTAACCTGCCTAGTTGAACTGATTTATAACTATACAAACATTCCCTTTGGACTGAAGAAATGCAGGCACATGCCTGCAGTTGCTCAGACCAGGTGCCAGGGGGCGGTAGAGTGCACCCTTGGCTGCAGGGAAGCTGTGCTGGGGCGGGGGAGCGTGTGGCCAGCCCAGGCAGTAGCCTTGGCTGAACTGGCCAGAGAGGGATTTATTTCCCCTGTCCCTGTCCCACTGGCAGGGACCCAAGCCAGGTCTGCCGGGCATTCCCCCACGCTGCGGCCAGATGCTGCGGGGATGGCAGAGCTGCAGCAGACTGTGCATGGCAGTACTGGGGTTTGGAGGAGGCCACAGCCCCCCCAGCTCCCAGTGCCGCCACCACAATCTGCAGCAGCCTTCCCTTCTCCACAGCTGCGGGAAACCATGGCAGACTGCTGGGAGTGGAGTGCCATGACAGGGACAGGGAGTGCCTGGAAGACCCAGCTTGGGTCCCTGCTGGTGGAACAGGGAGGGGGGAATTAAACTACTCTGTGGCCAGTTCAGCCAAACCTACTGCTGGAACTGGCCATGCCCCCACTGCTGGAGCAGCCAGCATGGAGAAGTGGAGGTCCATGCTGGTGGGACAGGGGAGGGAGGGGAAGAATAAACTTCTTCCCTGCTCCCTTCCAAGGCCAGAGTTTGACCCCCCCCCCCCCACCCCCCTTCAACCG